ACATATATAGGGGTAATTTACAAAACACGATATGAAAAAAAAAGTCAAATCAACTATGTTAGTTACAATCTCTACTGATCTCCCTGCTGGAAAGCCGTGAGTCGTGAAAATTGTATCGAGCTGGCCGCTCGATCTCGACATGATGTATGGGGAATTCAATTTCCTTGGTCATCTTCCGAGGTCATCGATCATCAGACGCCTCCTGGCCGGCGGTCGCTGCCGGCAGGTGCTGGACAAGGACAAGCGCGTCGTGAACGGGCAGCATCACGAGGATGACAAGCGTTGCCTCGGCGGCCACCGCCACGGCGACGAACCCAACGAGGCCGACGGTGGGGGACGTGTACTGGTGCATGTCCCACACCGAGGTCAGGGCGAGCGCCAGCACCTGGAGCGGCAGCGGCACGAGGATGAGCACGGAGAGCGCGTACGCCCTCGCGCGCAGCCGCCTGTTGATGGCGACGGCGGCCACGTCCCAGCACGCGGTGGCGAGCAGCGGCAGGTACACCGCGACGAGGGCGAGTAGCAGCGTGGCGGCGTACGCCGGGTACGCGCAGTGCCCGGCGCCGTCCGCGGCGTGCGCGAGCTGGCCTGGGTACGCGGCGACGGTTGCCGGCGTGGCAAGCACGACCACGTGCGCGGTGAGGAACGGCAGGCAGGCGAGCGGCACGGCGAGCGCGGCCGCGGGCAGCCGCGCGCCGCCAACGGACGCGCGCAGCAGCAGGAGCACGCTGGCGAGCAGCCCTGGCTCCGCGATGCCGTGCGCGACGAGCGGGTAGGCCAGGCACGGCATGACGTGGCGGGGCGGCGGCAGCATGGCGGCGCCGCGGAAGAACGGGAGGCGGAGCATCTCGGCGGCGGCCAGGAGCCCCACGAAGAAAGCGAGCAGCAGGCGTGGCCCGCACAGCGACGGGCCGAGGTCGAGGATGCGGCGCAGCCGGCCCTGCCCCGACTGCGCGTGCGCGTCGAAGGAGACGAGCACGAACGACGCCGCGACGGCCAGCGCCGCGATGGCCACGGCGAGGCCGGCCACCGCGAAGTCGGCCGCGCCGGCGACGGGCGGAGCCGTGAACTTCCCGGCATCGAGCGCCTCCGCAACCGCAACGCTTGCCTGCATTGCTTCTTGGCAACAAGCTGAGGTCGGTTCCTGGCACCGGCGACGACGGCGCGCTCGATCTTGGAGCAACCACGACGACCGCACGGTTTCATATCAAACCGAATTGGAACGTTGGCATCGGTCACCATGCATGCAGGAGCGACAAGACCACAAAATTTGAATCTAATAAAGAGGAAGCAGCAGCTCCCATTTTTTTTCTTTCATTTCATCCGCCCTCTTGCTGCCGGCCGGTGTAATCTCTCATAAGTAGAAGCAAGAAGCAGATGCTTTAATTGCGTGAACGTCAAAGGCAGGAGATCATGTGATGAATTAGAAAATTAGTAACTCTCTCCGCATAGGAGGCAGGATTATTGCATGGGACACTAGCTGGGATCTTTTCTTAATTAAGCGTTGCCAGTCAAAGATGACACTGTTGGATTGCGGTTTGGTGGCCGCCGTCTTAAAATAACTAGCTTGCTGTCAGAGGCATCCAAAAATGTGACTGCACGTTTTGGAAAGTTTGTAGGCCGGAGGGGCCAGTTCAATTCCAATTCGGCGTCCAAAAATGTAGCTGCACGTTTGGAAAGTTTGTAGTCCGGATCGGCCAGTTCAATTCCAATTCGGCGTTCCTCTCTACGTACCAGCAGGACCAAATAATATTTATTATTGTTATATACGTCTACGTCTACGTCTATATCTATATCTATATTTATATTTATATCTATACCTATACCTATACCTAAAATTAAAGAGCCAAAATTTCTCTGCATCCATTTTTTATTCCGTCCCTCCACCAACTCACTCTTGAATGTAAAAATTGTATCTATTTCTTTGTGTGTAGCCCTCCAGGTTTATAGCAACACCCTCCAGATTTATATATGACATATGTAGAGCTTTCCTGAGGTAAGCTGGATAGCTATGATTCCTAATCTAAAAAGATATCTTCGATCTTGAACCTTAATAGGAATCTAAATCAAAATGAAAAATGATGTATCTATACCTTTTTTATCCTATACTACTAGATATATGTGCATGGGAGCCACGACTTTTTTCCACACCTACAACAACAGACTTGATTATTTTTTGAAATAATAAAAAGGTAATAAACGATTTTGTATTAGGAACTCTAAACTTTTTTTAAATATACTCAGGTCTTCTCTATTTTTCCTTTGCTCTTTCTTTATTTATCAATGGGACCTTCATGTTCTATTTGAGTGTTCAATTTTCACAGGACTATAGTTTATCGAAGAGGTGCAAATATTGAGGTGATTGAAGGTTGAAAGAATGATTTGTATTATGAGTAAATTATTTCATTACTCATAAATTTTAGAAACTATGTATTCTATCAGGCCGCACACAACAACAGTCTACATACGCCAATGTACAATCCATCCACAAATGTAAGCACTCTCGTTGTATTTAGATATGTCCATGAATCTAAGCCAACCCGTTCGGTACAACTTGCTGCTGTTGCTTTCGGTTGTTGTTGCAGTTCCTGCTTTTCGAGTATTCCAGGCATTTTTGGTTGGTGGCATGGCCAAAACAATCCCATCTGACTTTACATCATAAAAAATAGACTTCTAAGGGCCTATTTAGATTCACCCTCTAAACTTTAGACCTCTAAATTTTAGAGTTGAAGTCTTCGTACAAACGGTTTAAAGTTGGCTCTAAACTTTAGGCAACTCACATTAGAGCTTTAGAGCTTAAAATTTAGCTAAAATGCTCCAAAGGTTATAGATGTTTAGAGGAAGGGATACAAACAAATCCTAAGATTATTGTTTAGCTAGACGAGACAGCTTTGTCATCCAATCATAGGCGGAGCCAAGGCCCGGCTACCTGGGCAGGTGGCCGGGCTCCTCCGCTGGCTGCTGCACACACAAATAGTTAGTCATAGCTCAAAAAAAAAATGAAGCTACGTACAGACCCTACTTAAAAAAACAAAAGCTGCTTCTAAATAAAACTCAAAAAGAAAAGCTACATGCAGAGATGAGGCAGTACAGAGATGAGGTAGGGAGCAGGCGCCGCTTAGGACTTAGTGATTATTTTAGTTTAAAACTTAAAACTATTTTGGTTGTTTAATTTTGCTTGTATATTATATAATTATGTGTCCTATTTTACATAGCTTTGTTAGGGCACTAACAATATTAAAAACCATAGATAATTTCTATGTCTATTAATTTATGTAGACAGTATATATAAAAACTACTCCCTCCGTCTCACAAACAATGTCATTCTTGCTTCCCGAGAAGTAAAACTTTTTAACTTTGAAAATTATATATAAAAGAATATTAATATTTATAATACATAATTGGTATTATTAGATAAATCTTAGAATATATTTTTATAATAAATTTATTTTGTAATCTAAATGTTGCTAATATTTTCTATAAAGCTAGTCAAATTTAAGAAAGTTTGACCCGCACGTATCTCATAGCGTCCTTCTTTTTGTGACGAACGGAGTATATTCCTGTTGGATAGTTTCTACACAATAATCTTTTGTCCAATAATATATCTTTTCTCTCACTCGTCTACCTATCACATCTATTCATATCTTAGTTCTTGTCTAGACATGGTTTTTTATTCAGAAATAATTTCATTCTCTCTTTTAATTGTAGTGTCACATCATCTTTTTACTTAATTGATATCCTAATTAATGAACATAGAGCCATGTGGTTTCTGCGTTGGGAGTGACCTTACTACTAGCATGGCGTTTTGTCTCACCCAGGCTCCATAAAATTCCTGCCTCCACCACTGAGGCTACAATCCAAACACGCCCTTCTTATTTGATCCAATTGTTTTCATCCATCATCATTTATTTTTGAAAGGCAAAGGGGGGCCATCATCATTTTATTACTTTACTAGGTTCGTGCCGTGCGTTGCTACGGGACAACTAAAATTTTATACTAAAAACACACAGATCGCACGAGAAGATAACAATACTGTGAAATTAAATACCGACGTTAAAGTGACATTTAATCCAAAATGCAAAATTTCATGAAATTAACACAATCACGGAGAGCACGGCATCGCAGACTCATAAACTCTACTATATAAATCTTTCTGTGATGCGGCTAAGATAATGTTTTATATCGGCAGGAAGAAATCTCCGATATCAATTTCTTTCGTGCACCAATAAATCCATGGATAGGTTCCTGCCCTTGCGTTGCTACTTTTTTGCAACTGGATTATAATTTTTTTTCAATGTGTGTTTTAGAGCGCTGGAAGCATAGTAGAAATACCAGAATAACTTTTTTTGACAGGTAGAAGTACAAGATGGAGAAACAAATTGCCAAGCTTGTTTGGCTAATCTATGAGCATGTTGTTTCAATATTCATCAATGAATCGTGGAAAGACAAGACCAATTAATCAAAATGTACAGGTGGAAAGTATGTCATATTTCAAAAAAAAAGTGCCATCAGAATCAGCATAAGGAACACACATAAATGAAAATGCACAAACACGAGTGATGTACATCCATATGACCGTTGATCACAGTGTCCAACTTCAAGGCGATAAGCGCTTGCAACGGGCAAATAGGGCTCTTCAGGGACCCAATACGTTAACATCATATACGACTCCTTTGCCTGGTGATACCTGAATCCTTCTTGCACAAAGCTGAAGTAAAATCATATATCTGCTACTGACAGACAAGTACTTGTCTGAGATCAAAATGAGGCCACTAGTCTGAGGTCAAAATGAATCACGAGGCAGACGAACAACCCCCAATTATAGTTTTGTTTCATTACTATAACCTTTACTTCTAATGGAATGTACTTTGAGCGATCCAGCGGCAACCGACCACACCCACTTCTTGCCTTGTAAAGCAAAGCCCTATTTGAGCAAAGCTTTTTCTTCACACAATGGAGGAGCAAGCTGTCCAACATCATAGATCATTACTATCTTACCATCATTCAGAAACATCACTGAGATGGATATAGTCTGGCTTGATAGCTAATCTGCACAAACCATAAATTATATAGCCAACAGTATTGAAGACAATGTAGTGTAACTGATATGAAAAAAGCAAATTCTGAAAATTAAAGATACGATTCGGTGGTCAACTGATCATCATAAAAAATGACAGTGGTGGGGTGGTTTCAAGCCGTGACACCTTGGAGGCTTTTCTGTAGTCTCCTTTTATTTGAACTATACTTAAGTGACATGTTCTAAAATCATGACAGCACAAAAGTAGCCATATATATTTTAAACAATAGCAGAGGCACATTTTGATTGGAGCAGGCTCCTTAAGCAAGTGTTGTTCTAGGCCGTAACCTTAGAACTCTGGGTTGCCGCTCGAACAAGCATCAAAAGCACAAAGAACAACAAACACAAAGGACAACCTGGCGAAAAGGCTGCTGGAAGCGGCTAAACCTGATCTCGTTACCTGGGAATCGGGTTTTTTTTTTCCTTACAACCCTGGTGGGGGCACTATTTATACACACCCGTACCACTTACATGGACGCAAATGCCCCTACAACTACCCTGATCTGAGGGGATATTCCCTTTCGCCGAGGGTACTCCGGTCTTTTCCTGCTGCGCCTCCCCAGGCTCCAACTACCCCTGTCGTGAGCCGGTGGTCCCGTCTGCCAGATGTGGTCGCTGGGCCCCGAGACGCCTTTCCCTCAGCGACGAAAAAGGGCGAAGAGTTCCTACAAAACCAGAGTAAGTTACATCGCGCTAGGGTCTAACCGACCCCGCCATTTCGCCTGGCGGCCATCCTTTCGCCTGGCTGTGCGAAAGCATCTTCTCTTCAAGCCTGCACTTGAGCCGCACGCGGGTATCCGTCTCAGCTGAACGCTTCCTTTCGCCCTCTCAGGGACACAAAAGGGGCTGATTGTTGAGCAACCACCCTTTTGCTAGCAGGGGGCGCGAAAGGTGACGGCGCAGCCCAACAGTAAGCTATAAATTGCACAAAGCATCTAACTGGAACAACTATTCTGGATGCTTCAAGGAATAATATAGCCATAAGTAATTATTTAAAAAAAACTCCCTCTAAAACAATGTCCTTCCCTCCCCCTGATCCGGCTCTCCCTCTCTCCATTTCAAAACTTAAGAACGATAAAAATGGAGGCAGTTAGATAAAGTGGCTAATTTAAGACAAGTAATGAGGTGATAGTACCTTCTCTAAAAACCTTGACTCACAGTTAATTTGATCAGCAGCTTCTTCTCAATTCCAAAGACAAAGCCATTGACGACAGTTCCAAACTTTATATAGTTTCTGCTAAAATGACAGTGCAGAACTGCAGATTGTTTTTCCCAACTAACAAGCTAAAGCTATTGATTGAGAAGTACTAACAAAACCTGCATAATGAAGCAAGCTGGAGGATATGAGATCGGCACAGATAGATGGGCGTACCACATCAACTATAGCAATATCAATCTCTTTGGCAAAATTTTCCCTCCTCTTCTCGAACTGGCTGTGGTCTGAACAAAAAGAGTAGAGAAGTCAAATTAGCACTACACACACAATTAATCAATGCAGAATAATACAGAGAATTTGCCAAGAAACCTTCTTCCTGAACTCCCATTCCCTGCAGGCAGTGCATTATTGGATAAGAGACAATTAATATGAGCAAGGTAGAGCAAGTTGACCTTGGAGGTGCGCAGGTGCTGGGATGGGTCTGTCTCTGGAGCAGGTAAGGCAGCGAGGAGGCGTCTGGTGTGGTGGCTTTGCAACAGAGGCGTAGGAACCCGGTGTATCATGGCATTGGGTCCGTCTCCGGAGCAGGCAAGGCAGCGAGGAGCTGATGACGGCGGTGGCACTTGGATCTGAATGTTCTTGAAGTGCTTGCCTTGCCAAACCCTTCCTAGGGAAGAGCCTGCTTCTTGAGTCATTCATCTACTCAAATAATCATAGTTCATGCTAAACTAACTATTCCCTTGTCTGAACTAAAGATGGCATGCTCAGATTGATGGAAAATAGTTCAATCCCAGATGTATCAACTGTATATGCAAGAATCCTATGATCTAGAGAGATTCGACAACTCCCAATGTGCCAACAATAATCTGTATAATATTTATAAAATAATAAATTTACATGGCTAATCAACAAACACCTTCATTTTGAATAATCAGTAAATAGGAGCAAATAAGCAGGGTGCAGAGACTGAAACATAAAATCTACACCCAGAATTATTTTACGAAAGTGGAACTGCATATTTTGAAGTATGAATCATGTAAGTTATCATATTGTACCATTAAATCTTGTTGCATCAAGAGAAAGGGAGCATGTCCATCTCATATGTAAGACATCTACCAGCTTTCCTATTTCAATGAAGGACTGGCAACATCAATTCATTTCTTACTGTGAGATCCAAACAAGCGTAGGCAGGTTCACCTTTTCTCCCAGGAATAGGCTATATAAGTCAACCTATGGCAACATCAATTCCGAATAGCTCTCGTACCTATATTCTGAAATTTGTGGCTCCCCTTAATATGACTATATGAGTCAACCTGTTAGCAAAGCTAATAGACAGAATAGGCAAAGTACAGAATCTAAACTAAAACTCCTTACATTTTGTACAGAAAATAAGTATGAGTGGTAAAGTGTAATATGTTTAGTCTGCTTACTTGGCTGAGTTATCAAATAAGCATGCAATTCCCACAGGACCCATACTGACAAATTATCATCCATCATTGTCACTTATGACAAAAACTCCACCTTTTCCAAGGCTGAAAATAAAGGAAATATAAGTAGGGGTCAGAGTATATTTAGAATGTGATAGGAATCGGTATTAGCGAAAATGTCAATCATCACCCTACTGGGCAAATGGCAAGCGCTGCATAGACTCCGTGAGAGCGGCCACAACAAACATCACCCGACTGGAAATGCCCATGGCATGGAGCTAATCTGTCGCTTCACTACACCTAGAAGTGTCGCTGCCGCAAGAGCTTGAGCCATGAGCTTACCGGAAACGCAGCTCCTAGGTCCACGCCCCGCACCACCGCACGGCCCGCACAAAACCTCAACAACTGCTAAGCATAGAATTGGTACATGCATACAAATAAGGTAGCAAGGAGTTATGAAATAATGCAGAATTACAATTTACAAATTGAATTGTTAGCAAACTGAACTGTTAACCTTTACCTCTGTATATCGATTAGAACCCTTCATGGCAACTTGCTAAAATACATCAATAGTTGATGGTATGCAACAATGATTAGCATGTAGCTACTGTTAAAGAGCTGGTCAAACTATGTCAGAAGTAGAGAAACCAGGTGTGACACCTTCACTGCAGATGTCCCATTTATATCATAAAGATTTGGCTGCTCATACAGTCATACCCCCTTTCTTTCTAAGTAGGCTTGAATGAAATTGTCAAATAATCTGCTTCAGAAGACCTCTTAGGCTCCATCAATATTCTCCTTCCAGCTTCAACCTTAGATATACTGTTTGAAATAGTGAAAATAACTTTCACCCAAAATATTTCTACTCACTCTAGAAAAAAAATCATGTGGACAATATAAGATGCTTCAAGCCATGTGAAAACATTGTGAGATAGGATTGCAGTATATAATATAATCAGATAGCAAAAAAAAAATGATACCTCAAGGAAAAGGAGCAATCCCATCAAGGAGCAATCCCATAAAGATTTGGCTGCTCATACAGTCATACCCCCTTTCTTTCTAAGTTGGCTTGAATGAAATTGTCAAATAATCTGCTTTAGAAGACCTCTTAAGCTCCATCAATATTCTCCTTCCAGTTTCAACCTTAGATATACTGTTTGAAATAGTGAAAATAACTTTCACCCAAAATATTTCTACTCACTCTAGAAAAAAAATCATGTGGACAATATAAGATGCTTGAAGCCATGTGAAAACATTGCGAGATAGGATTGCAGTACAATATAATCAGATAGCAAAAAAATGATACCTCAAGGAAAAGGAGCAATCCAATCAAGGAGCAAAATCTGAAATATACAATAAATAAATAACATAACAAATTTAATGAATAAAATAGAGGAATTAATCATAGTGTCTCATCTGAATGTACTCCGTAGAAGCTAAACAGAACAGAAGAAACTAACCTTTAGAATCACTGGATGACCTACAGAATGATCACACAAGCTCTGCAACAAACTTTGGCAGCTGTCACGTTGTCAAAAAAGATTGATCGATTGCAGTGGTTCTTATCAATGCATTGATTTGTGCATTCGGTTAACCACGGTACTATTCGATGCATGGATGGGATGAGTGGACACGCCGCCGCTGAGGGCCTGGTGGTGGAGGTCGCTACCCGACGGATTCACGGAGTCCGGCGGCGGGCTACCCAACCCGTCACATCTCGGCGAGCGCGGGGAGCCGATCTGGAGCTCGATCTCACCGCCCCCGCCGCGCTTGAACGACCCGGCGCGTCATGGATCCCCACCGACCATGCGGGGGCTGTGACTGTGAAGGCGCTGGTGGTGGTGGAAGGGAGGAGAAGGAAGGAAGAGGGCTCGGTAGACCTGCTGGGACGCACGCCCATCCCACGACGGTGGCATTTTTGGGCCATGATTGTGGCGTCGAGGTGGGTGGTTTGTTTTGGAAAGAAAATCAGAGGGAGAGGAAAAGAGATACGACGGTGTGATATGAGCCACGATCGTCGTCACCACGGATCGCATGTGTGATATGAGAAAATGGTGATTCTGCCATTACGAAAACTGGGCTTCGCAATTTTGCCATCTCATAAATGGGATTCATCCGTTTGCCATTCTCAAACGATACACACCTGCAAATATGTCTTGTGGAGGATTTGTTGTCAAATTAATTTTTTTTACCATGGCAAACTTGCCTACCCGTTTTGCCCCTCCCTGATGCATCACGGAGGCCTTCTCTTCATTCACGGGAGACTCACGGTCGTTCCGCTCGGGATACAGACGACGCTGCCAGGTCAAGCGAGGGAGAGAGGGAACGGATCCCCGCCGCCGCCAGCACCGCCGCCTCCGACGCCGCCGCGACGGTCGACTGCAGGGCACCTCCTGGGTTTCCCCGAAGCCAGCCAGGCGTCCCGGCTCTGCCGGCCGACGCCGGTGCTGCTCTAAGTGGTGGATGGAGAACTGGCCAGATCTCTTCCAAGGATACGTATTCTTGCTTTGCTGGTAATCTAACTGTGCCCAAGCGTGTAAATGAGACTCGACAAGTGTAGATGTGGTGGTAATCTAACGGTGCCACCTTTTTATTTCTTTACTAGGCTCGATGGGGAGCCTGACCTTAGCTTAGCACTAGTAGAACCTCTTGTTGATTGGGATAGCCTACACATCGAGGACAATCGAGATGAAGAGGGAAGAATTGAGATTGTTGATGATGAGGTGATGTATGAGCTGTTGGGGTTTAGGGCTGACGATGAGGAGGCTGATAAGGCAAGAAAGGCAGCCAGTAAAGTTAGCAGTCAACAGAACGTCGATACTTGTCAGAGGACTGAAGAAATTGATACAACTGGGGCAGTCATTGAAGTTGATGACTATTTACCAGGGGAGAGGACTGTAGTGCACGATCCAAATCGGCCCAATATGGATCTTGGCACAGTTTATTCTAATATGAAGGAGTTTAGATTGGCGGTGAGACAATTTGCTATAAATAAAGAGTTTGAACTACGCGTTGTCAAAACAGATCCTGAAAGATATATTGGAGGTTGCAAGGGGGGAGAAGATTGTCCTTGGCATTTTGTTGGGCGTAGACAGCCTGATGGGTGCACCGTTATGGTACTAACTTTTATTTTGCGTTCCATTAATTTTTTCCCTTCAATAATTTTAAGGCTGCCAATGTTTTTTGCTCTTCTATATTAGTTGCCTTGACTAATTTTTTTGTTGTTGCAGGTGACAGTGGTTGTTGATAAGCATACATGTGAATCAAGTGCTAGGAGGAAGACTACCACACCAACCAGTGCTTGGGTTGCTTCAAAGGCAATACATCACCTTAGGAAGAAAACAGCTATGGGCCCTAAGGAACTGCAAAAAACTTTACAGGATGACCACAAGTGTATAATTCATTATGATACTATTTGTAGAGGTAGGCAAATTACTTTGAGAGAATTGTATGGCAAATGGGAAGAGAGCTTTCAGCTGCTATTCAATTGGAGGGCAGAGGTCCTGAAGAGATGTCCAGGTAGTGTTATTGAGATTGGCATCAAGGAGGTAGATGGCAATTTCTATTTCCATAGATTTTTTTGTGCATTGAAACCTTGCATTGAAGGTTTTTTAGAAGGATGCAGGCCATACCTTAGCATAGACTCTACTGCACTTAATGGTAGATGGAATGGTCATTTAGCTGCAGCTTGTGGTATAGATGGTCACAACTGGATGTACCCAATTGCTTTTGGGTTCATTGATGGTGAGACAACAGATAACTGGACTTGGTTTATGACTCAGTTGCACAAGGCCATAGGAGATCTTCCTGTTTTAGCTATTTCGTCAGATGCGTGCAAAGGTCTAGAAAATGCAGTTAAGAATGTGTTTCCGCAGGCTGAACATAGGGAGTGCTTTAGACATCTAATGAACAATTTCATTAAAAGGTTTGGTGGTGATGTGTTCTCTAAGATGTATCCTGCAGCTAGAGCTTATAGAGAATCAGTTTTCAGCTATTTTTACAAGTCAGTCATTGATGCTAGTCCTCAAGTGTTGGTTTGGATGGAGGCTCACCATTACAAGCTTTGGATGAGATCTGGCTTCAATCCTGAGATTAAATGTGATTATATCACTAATAACCTTGCTGAAGTGTTCAACAATTGGATCAGGGACTGGAAAGACCTTCCTGTTGTTGAGCTTGCAGACAAACTCAGAGAGATGATTATGGTGCTATGGGCGAAAAGGAGAAAATTTTTAGAAAGGCTTACTGGAAAGATCCTCCCAGCAGTGATACAACAGTTGAAAGCCAGAACTAGAGGACTTGGGCACTTGACTGTTATAGATGGTGGAAGTGCTGCAGCTGAAATTTGGGACACCACAAACACTCGTAGTAGACATGTTGTTAAGTCTTCTCTACATGACTGCACCTGTCTTGAGTGGCAGCATACTGGTAAGCCTTGCCAGCATGCTTTGGCTTTGATTACAAGTGTACAGTCTAGTAATGTACATATGGAGGACTTTGTGCATGAGTACTACTCTGTTGAGAGGTTCAGGGCAGCTTATAAGAGACTTATAGAGCCATTGCCTGATAGAACACAGTGGCCAGATGTTGATTTGCCTTTTGGGGTTAGGGCACCACTTGACAAGAGGACTGCTGGACGGTACAGAAAACTCAGGATCAAAAGCTTCCTTGAAGGTGGTGGTAGCAAAGGAAAGAAGGCAGCCAAGGAAGCAGCAAATGAGGCAGATAAACAAGCTGCAAATGAGGCAGAAAAGGGCAAGAAAAAAAATGATTAGAGGCAAAAGAAAGTGCAAGGGGTGTGGAGAATTAGGCCATGGTGAAACAAGCTACAAATGCCATCTTAATGGGACTAAGAAAAGGTAAGACCCAGCTATATGTACTTGCTGCCATGACTTGTTTTGCTAACTAAATTAAATACTTTTTTGTCCAAACTTGCAGGAAAAGAAAGCCAAGAAAAAATACAACAAAGTATGGTGAGAATGCAAAAATCCCAACAAAGAGAGCAAAGAAGGGAGGGAAATCTCAGGATACTGCTACTGAACCAGCAGCCCCAAATGCTTTCCATGACCAAAAAATCGCACCACCAGCCCTAGATGATTTGCATGCTTTAGAAATTGAAGTACCGCCCCCAGATGCTTCTCTCCATGACCAAGAAATGCCTACACCAGCCCCAAATACACTCACCAGCCCCACAAGGCTCACAAGGGACCAGATCATACAGAACAGCCCCAATAGGGTTACAAGAGGGTATGCTACACATTAATTCTCATTCTTTTATACTTGTATACTGCTTTCATACAAGTGACTCATAGTGCTACTTTTATTGCAGCCAACTGCAAAACCTGCTAGCTGAAGGTGTCTCACCAGACAAGACAGTGCAAAAGAGGAGCCCACCAAAAAAACTCAAGCCAAGAAAACTGAAAACCAATTGAAGGTTTCGGTCTGGAATGTTATGTCCATCATGAAATTGTAACTTAAATTGTATCTGGACATGTATCTCCATCATGAGAATGGAGATCTCTATGAAAACGTATCTCTGGACATGTA